GTTCACTGGTTCCAGAATTGGTTGCGGAGCCTATGGCAGAGTTGAGGAAGTGATTGTTCCAGTACGGGCTGCGCCAAAACCATATACAACTTCCTACAAGAAGGCGACGGGACTGCTGAAAGCTTCCGTCGAGTTCGTGTCAGCATATGACCACAATCCGCCATCCAAACATTTATGAAGTGCCGTTTGTCTCAGAACTACCTTTTTTGGATGAAGCCTAAACGTCGCGTGAATTTACATAATATTGCGAGAGTTTTAGTAATCGTCGCACGACTTTAGGCAAACACTGCATGACTTTAGCTAAACACTGCATGACTTTAGCTAAACACCGCATGACTTTAGCTAATCAGCGCATGACTTTAGGGCTATACGTTGCAGATTTTGCATCCGTTGTCGATTATTAGCTAAATTGGCGTTACTTTAACATTCGTCTTCGATATTTAGCTAACGTCGACGACCAAAGCTAAATGCATGGGATTTTTAGCTGTAGTAATGCCCTTTTAGCTAAATGCAACGATGGATGCTAAAGTCATGCACTATTTAGCTAAAGTTATGCGGTGTTTAGCTAAAGTCATGCGGTGTTTGCCTAAAGTCGTGCGACGATTGCTATAAATCACACGAGGTATAGCTAAACTCTCGCGATATTTACGTAACTTCACGCGACGTTTAGGCTTGATCCAAAAAAAGACAAACAGCACTTCATAAGCATTGACCTGTCACGGAGTATTTGGACTCCCGAAATATTAATATTTCAAGGCTAAGCGTGCAATATTATTATCCCCCTGATATGCGGGTTCCCCCCGGCCCCATATATACACACCTGCAGTAGGCACTGTGTAGCACCTCTCGCGCAGCAAGGGTTGCGCCACCCCGATCTCAGTGGAAGCCCACTAGAAGACGTTTCCCCTCCCACTCACTTTGAGCTGTTCTACATCCACGACAGACACTATACGACAGCATCATCTCTACTGGACATGGGTGTACAGACTTTCCTACACTGAGCAGAGAACAAATCTACGTAGACTTACCACATTCCTCGTTCGCGCGGTCGCGCGCGCGTACTGGCGCAGACGTGCACAAAGCTAATGGGGTAAACCCTAGCATTTACAACCAATCTGGAAGTCCGTTACTCTCCGGACTTTGGGGCGGGCGCCAGCGCCTAACAAGCGAGACGGCTAACATGGCTGAACAGTTTCCTGAGCTGAAGCAGTTTGAGCTAACCGATGTGAGAAAGACTGGAATCGAGATTGGTGCCGGAGCATACGGCAGTGTGTGTGAAGTGGCTTTGCCTAGAGCCATCTGTGCGGCGAAAGAGATCCACGAAATCCTTCTCGACCCCTCCCGCATTTCCTCGGAAGAGATCCGCAGAGTAAAGGCGCAGTTCGTGAGGGAATGCCAACTAATGAGTACCCTTCGCCACCGGAACATCGTCCAGTTTCTGGGCGTCACTTTCTTTCCTGGCTCGCGACTGCCAGCCCTCGTCATGGAGCGACTGCAGACGAGTCTTCATGACTTTGCTGGCTCCGGACCCGCCCCTTCCGCAAAAACCGCCGTCTGACGCAACCAGCCCTTTCTTCAAGCTTGGCCTTATGTGTTCTATTTTGAACGACGTTGCGAACGGCCTAGCCTACCTGCAAGCGCATCAACCTTCGCCTATCATCCACCGCGACTTGACAGCCCGTAACGTTCTCCTAGACTCGGAAATGGTAGCTAAAATAGCGGACCTCGGAATGGCTCGCATTATGCCCCATAAAAAGGCGGCTACCATGACAAAGGGACCTGGAACCCTAGTTTATATGCCTCCAGAAGCCATGGCTCATCTAGAGCAGCCTCACCATGACCAAGTAGCAAAATATGATGCAAGCATCGATATCTTCTCATTTGGTGTTGTGGCCATTTTCACCCTCACCCAAACTTTCCCCTGCAACTTGCTAGCTGCCAACTACCGCAGCGGCTGTCGTTTGATTGCTAGAACTGAGCTAGAGCGTCGCCAGGGGTATATGGGGATGATCTACAATCAGCTATCCAACAAGCATCCTCTGCTTCAGATGATCGAAGGGTGTCTAGACTTTCCAGAGAAGCGTCCCAGGATCCATGAGGTGCAACGTGTGTTGGGGGAGGCCAGGGCTGATATAAAAGATGAGCAGAAAGAAATGAAGAAATTGGAGCTCTTAAAAGCTCTTCATAAAGCTCACATGAAGAATCAGGTGAGGGATCTTTCGGTGATGGCACCTGGGACATGTAAAATAACAGCTCACGCTTTACTCTACATGCTACATATAGAACGAAGTGTGAGAAGGGCTGCTGGGGCTTCACCTTATATCTATAGAGATAAAACATAAATACAGTGGGTCCCGGTTTTATTCTATAAAGCGGGATATTCTAGAACGCGGAGCGGAGTATTATGAGTGATTACGCAACTCCACAAAAGGTCAAAGTCTTCATTACATCATCGTATATACAAAGTGAAATAACAAACACTTAGGATCCACTTTTCAGTACTTAAGGGGGTACAGTTCAGTATCCGGAGAGTATTGGGGAAAAGAAGTCTCTTATGGAGGTCTGAGTGCTGGTTGTAGCAAGTAGCTGCCTTTCCAGTGTATAAAACTGCTCCAAATCAGCTCCAGATTTATCAAGGAAATAATGTAGCATCTGCATGGCCTGCATAGCCTCCCCACGCTTAGGAGTTGGTGATGCTGAAGCTGAGGTCTCATCATCATCACTATCAATGGTGTGATGTCTCACCATGATCATTCTTCTGTAAGATCTGGGTGCAGATATCCTCTTCTGGAAGTTGACCATGGCATTCAAGTGATATGTCTAAGTCAACATAGGTTTGAAATTCACTTGATAACATTCCAGTGGGAGGATTCAATGCCTCCTCTTCTAGTGCTTTTAAATTACGAATTATCCCATGTCACAGGGCTGTATCAAAGACGTGACATTAAGAGGAAGAAAATAGACAGCACCATTTGTAAGCTCAACAGCACAATCTTTTGGGTGTGCAGAGCAATTATCAACCAAAAGTGCAATATGGCGATCCTGTTTTACCATATCTCGGTTAAGCTTGATCTGCCACTTGCGAAATATGTTGGATGTCATCCACACACTTGGATTACTAGTGTAGGGTAGGCAGTGTAGGTATCCTCGAGGCTGGTTACTCTTTCCTATGACAAGTAACGGCCGTTTCACTACCGTCCATATTCACACACGCCAAAACAGTTACCCTATCTTTGGCCTTTTTACGCCCATAAAGCTTATCTGTGGAAAAACAAAGAGTACCATCAGGTACAGCGCGGAATTATATACCAGCTTCATCTGCATTGTAGATGTCACGCAGCGAGTACTCACGAAGCAACTCGGCTAGAACGGTGCTTGTCCAGGTATCGGCGGCCACAAAATCTGCGTCTTTCTTTTCTCCGTGGCCTTTTTAAAAATTTAATGCCGTGCCTGGTGTTCTCACACCGGCAAAGCCACCCATTCGTAGCCTTAAAATCTTCCTCGAGTACCGAGGCGAAGTGGTTTGCCTTTTCCTCGAGGATTGCGGAAGTAATGGGAGCGTCCCGTGGTCGAACCAGGTATAGAGCGCGGCATCTACATCATCGTCTTTACTGGCTCTCTTCCGTTTACGAGTAGCAAACTTGTTTTCCTCTGCCTCCTTCAATATTGCATCTTCAATGTGGCAATCTTAGATATAGTAGATTGAGCACAACTAAAACGCTTAGCCAATTCAGCTTGGGAAGGTCGCTCTCTTTCCATAACAGAGACTATTTCCAGCTTTTGACCAAGCGTCAAATCCGTCCTGTGTCGCTTGCTGGTCGCCATTTTGATAAAACTGCACGACCTTCAAGCCTACTGCACAAATCTACATGACACCATCCCTATATCTTTGTCTCGTATTAACTTTACTTAAGATATAGGGATGGTGTCATGTAGCTTTGTGCATCTTTGCTGTGTAATGACCCCTTGTTTCTTCCTTTTTGGTGCTTCAAGCCATCCCTATTCTCCCCCTTCATTTTGAAGAAATGATTTTCCTCTTGTTTCCACTATTTTTCACGCCTTATGACAACACTGCATTTCAGTCACTCTGATGTTCATGGGTGTTGTATATAGAGATAACTGTTGATAGCAGAAGCTAATGGGCTGCTCCTACCTGAAGCAGGGTGTATGCGTAGTGTCTCCAACAAAGATGCAACTAGGTTGTGGCACATATGGTGGGGTGGTTTCATAGGGAGGCTTCAGTAATAAGATTACAATGATAGCTATAACCTGGGGGACAAAGAATGAAAGCGCTGGGCAAGGCCCGTGTAACATGGCGCACACTGCCAAGTTGCTCCTCGTGCAAATCAACAGCAAAACGCAAGCTAGCCAGTTAAAAATGTGTATACTGACTTACAGAAGGCACTGGAGGATAAGAGTTACTCTGCAGGCATCCTTGGCTTAGTCTCGTGGACCTTGTTCACGCACGAGACTATAGTAATGCGCGTGCACCGCATTGGGGAAATGCCCTCCTCGGCGCATGCGGCTCACTGATGCTGAGTTAGCAGCAAATGGCGTTGTTCAGTGACTACCGTGGAAGAGCTCAACGATCTACCGTAGTGACTTGCGGCAAGAAACAAGCGATCGCTTGATATGCGTGCACACCTCCGGAAAATTTGGAGACGTTCTGTGAAAAATCAACGTTCAACTGCTTCGATAAGGAGCTAGCGGGTCTGAAGAAGAAGAAGAAGAAGTAGATGAAGAACATGATGATTATGATGACACGAAAATTACGAAATTGCGTAAGAGCGAATTCTCTGGTGGGGAACTGAGGGCACGTAGGAAGTCTTGGGGCATATGTATAGCTAGGTATTGGCCTCTAGACTATTGCTAGTGATTTTGAAGCCATGGTGAGTCATTCTCGCTGAGTTTTGAGGCGTTTTGTACGCGAGATTTCACTCGTGCCATCCCTATACAGAGCGTCTACCGACGCTCTGATAAAGCGGTATGGAGCCCAAGTGGCCATTCACAATAGGCGGGATATGATATTCTGAAATGTGTACATTACATACGTAAATGGTTTGGGATTTCAATTTATAATAAACGTAGTAAAAGGGATGATATTAAGTGGGACCCACAAACCAAGGGCTAGCAAATCAACCCACACGCGAGCTAGTACAGATGATGAGACAGACATGTACGACGAATTACAGACGATAGAAACGGTATAAAAGGTATCACAAGGATAGTAGTGAGACATAATAAAAATATATCTAAAACTATCTTAGCATTCAAATATAGCAGTATCGCAAAAATGTAGAAATGTAGGACCACTAGAGAACCAGCTAACATGATTTAGGCATTGTGGGTGCCCTGGCCTTGAGAATCAGAGGTGGTGGGTTAAATAAATCTACTTTACAGTGAAACCTCTGAACAAGGGACACTATGGGGCCAGCAATTTTGTCCCTTGTAGAGAGGACGTCCCTATCTTGGAGGTCAAATAATACACTAAAGTATTAGCATGGGGTTGAAACAAGTGTCCTTTGTCTCGGAGGGTCCACTGTATAGTGTGGGACAAACACTTTCGTATATTCAGAGGGTCCTTTTCTGGTGCTATCACTGTATGATAATATTTAACCATCTTTCATTAAGTCTTATATGGAGGAGTTAGAGGAACAGCGGAGATCTAAAACTAAAAACAGAGAATTTATTGTCGAACGCTCAGGAAACTATCAGGGAAAAGCGAAAGCAAATTCAAGAGATGGAACAGCGAGTTAGTCTATTGTGTGTGCGTGTTTGTGTGGTGTAGACCTCTGTCAGTGTGACTGAGGTTGATCCTGACTCCAGGCCAACAAGGACATGGCTGAAACTCAGCAGAAACTGGGGGGAAAAGGAGCAGCAGGTTCAGGAGATGAGACAGAGAGTTAGTCTAGTGTTGGAGTTGTGTGTTGTGACTAGAGGTCCTCCTGACTGCAGGAGACTGAGTTAGTGCAGACCAAGACCAAAGACAGGGCTCACAAGAAACCGGAAGTGAGTTTATTTGGACACTGTGGAATTATCATACCCAGTCGCTGCATTCATGTCTGAGCTTATGTCTGTGGCAGACAAGACTAATGTGACACCACAGCACCCGTATTTCCTCGAATAAATGCCGCATCTCAAATACCAGCCGCACATTGTGCATGCACGACATGTGGAGCGTAAGCAGCATGCACTGCGAGCGATGCTGGGCTAGCACTAAGGATGTCATGTGATAATCCCGAATCGTGGATGAATAACCTGCCAGGCCTTATCACGCTACTGGCTGGTTTCAAAGAGATATACAAAATATAAACACCGCCCTTGAAAAGGCGCTGCCCCCAAAAAAACACGACTACCGATAACTGCGGCGTCTAAATCGAGGAAATGCGGTACTCCATATTTCAGGGTTGTTAGTGATGAATTACAGGTACAAAAAAAGAGCAAGGAGCGAGACTGTCTTCAACAGTGTCTGAAGTGCACGGTATGTACATGAAGATTTAGATTAGGATTTTATTCCCTTTACTATTACCTGCAGGGGAGAGAACTAGGAATATTTGTTGCTCTTCTCTCTATTTTTATCCCCCTGTCTCTTGTTGGTTTCTTTGATCGTCAGTCCCTGCATCCACAGGTAACTAACCCTCGGCGCGCATGCGCAGTGAAGGTTACAGTAGTTGGTTTGTCTGTTTGTGTGTGTCTTATTCCAGCACTACAGGCTACAAGGTGGCCAATGAGCATTGCCAACGGCTTCAGAACGACGTGACCCTGAAAATATAGAGGCAATTTTCCTGAAATGACTGCGTTCGAGAGATATGCTGTGAAAACAAGCGAAAAATACCTATGCATATTCAACCTCAACACTCTGCTCGCTCTGTGTATACCTTGGAAGCATAAGAAGTCACAACAAAGGGCGTGTATCGACTGCCCGCATGCCATCTACTGGTGTACCTAGCCCGTGTCAGACTTATTTGCGGGCCATTAGCATGGAGACCACGAGTAAACCCATAACTCTTGGCCCAGGTCCAACCCATCAATTTGCGGTATCGCGCATGCGCAGTGTGCCGAGGGTTTGCACTCTAGTGCATTTGATTTTACTGCTTTTCAGAAAGTCAATATTTAGGTAGACAAGCACTCTGCATTTGGTCCACTCAATTTCAATATATTCTCTTGGATGCATGTATGTAGCCCACAAACGCAACCACACTGTAATGGCTGATGCTGAGCAGTATATGTATTGTACACCGCACACTCAGCAAATAATATTGCCTTGGCTACAAATAGGTAAAAGGTATAGCCATGGTGCTTATCAGTACCACCCTTAGGCCACCCTCTTGCGGCACTGGAGGGCATTCCTGGTATACTTATATGCCTGTGCCTTGACACACCTATCAATAATGAATGTGCTGAACCTCACCATACTCAGCTGCTACATTGGGTTGATGATCATTATGAGTAAGTCTGCATCTCACCGATACATTACCCTTGGCACGCATGCACAGCGAGGGTTATGTGTGTCTGTACAGTAACATCTGACTTCTGCAGGCATTACTCTTGCCAGTATATACATATTATACAGTTGAAGATGGGACCGGGGTCAAAATTTGTGGCAGTGAACAATAATTATCATGCTATATGATTTACTTCCAGATACAAGAGCTAGCAGAGTTGAATGCAAATTTGGAAGCAGAATTGAAGAAAATGGCAAATGAAATGGAATTGAAGAAAGAAATGGAACTAAAGAAAGAAGTGGAACTGAAAAAGAATGAACCGGAACTGAAGAAGGATACTGAAGTGCAGAAGAAGGAAACGGAACTGAAGAAGAAGGAAATGGAAGTGCAGAAGAAGGAAACGGAACTCAAGAAGAAGGAAACGGAAGTGCAGAAGAAGGAAACGGAACTCAAGAAGAAGGAAACGGAAGTGCAGAAGAAGGAAACGGAACTCAAGAAGAAGGAAACGGAAGTGCAGAAGAAGGAAACGGAACTCAAGAAGAAGGAACCGGAAGTGCAGAAGAAGGAAACGGAACTGAAGAAGAAGGAAACGGAAGTGAAGAAGAAGGAAACGGAAGTGCAATAAGAAGGAACCGGAAGTGCAGAAGAAGGAAACGGAACTGCAGAAGAAGGAAACGGAAGTGCAGAAGAAGGAAAACGGAAGTGCAGAAGTAGGAAACGGAATTGAAAAAAATGAAAGCCGATTTATATGAGAGGGAAGTTAATTTGAACATTAGAGAAAAATTGCAGAAGTCCAAGGAAGCACCAGAAGCAGAGATGAATCTTGGGCATTCTGAGTCTATGTGTAGATATGCATGTAGAGTGTTTAGATAATGACTATTGATTAGAATTCCTCCATACAAGATCCACATTTACACATCCCTGCTGAATAATAGGCATTAATTAACTTTTCTTGCCTTGTTCCCTGCTGATGTGTAGCAATAATGTCACGTAAACATGCATGTAAGTGGGGAGAGAGTATACAGCCAGGTGTACCTACATTAAAATATAACGCCTTTTGGAGAGTCACTAAAATTAATAAAAAGCACTAAAGTGAAAACCCTCGGCGAACTGCGCATGTGCGGTACCACTAATTGATGGGCTGGGCTTTTTATGCCTTTACTCGTGGTATCCCGCTAGTAGCTCGCGGAGAGTCTGGCACGGGCTAGCTACAGTAGTAAATAGCATGCGGGAGTCGATACATGCCATTCGTTGTGACTTCTTGTGCCTCCGAGGTACACAGAGCAAGCAGATCAGGTCGAGGTAAGCCTGTACTAATTTACATATTGGCTTGTTCACTTGGTTTTCACGCCATAACTTTAGAACACAGTAGTTTTACGAAAATCGCCTTTTTTAAAATCAACCCAGTGTAGCACTGAACCCGATCATATCGCTATTTACCTGATTTCGTGCGCACGGTGGCAGAAAACGTGGTAACAGACAGACAGACAGACGGACACACTTACGGGACAACTACCGTAACCCTCGCTGCGCATGCGCGCCGATGGTTAATTAGTGCACTATTATGTAATGCAGGCATAATGGATTATGTAATTATTGAGATCGTTACATATTGCCAGAGTGCACTAATAGGAATCTATTATATAATGCACTGCTTATTATAGAGTGTGTTCCACATGGCCGGCCATTATCTCTAACAGAAAACACTATAAAAACTAAGCTGCCCTCTTATCCTTATGGAGTTGTCAATGATCTAGTGGAAATAAATTACGTAAACCTGATCTGCTGGCTGGTCATAGTAATATTCAACAGTGCAATTGGCTATAGGTATAACCTTGATTCCTAGAATGTCGTTAGGTAGGTCAAAACGCAAGGTAGCTAGCTATATAAGTAGAGCGAACAAGCTCTTGTCTTAACACTGGCTATGCGAAAGCGACTGCGTCAAAGAAAGCTGTTGAGAAAATGTCGGGCAAAATGATCATCATCTCTTATCTGGTTATTCTGGCAGTGGTTATGGAGCTTGCTGTCTTAGTGGAGGCAGCACCTTATGCTGTCTTCATGGATCGAGCACCTTATGCTGTCTTCATGAATCGAGCCACTTATATGATGTCAGGTAGGATTCTAGAATCAGTTGTAAGCATGTATATATCGAGTACTAGTGTTTTATGGAGCACTGTGTGTGTAGCTAGTAAAAGGCTTGCAGGGAACGTGCAAAAGTCAATATATCGTGTCGTTTTACTTGTTATTACGCTCTTTAGGTGGCTAGTTTTCTAAAAAAAACAGCATGCAGAGCCTCCACACACGTCATAGTGTAGCAGACTCACCTCACATAATAACCCATGTCGGCCATTTTACCCGTGGCTAGTGTAGCAGACTCTCATTAAAGAGGCCGAAAGGATGGAGGCGGAGACGGCTCATGGACAGATGACTGATTAGCTACCTTCATTTCTGAAGAGGTGCACCGCCTCTCCTGGTTGCCTCCGCCTCAGGTTGCTCAGGAGCCGCACATGATATTACTACTGAAGGAGCTGTCCTCCACTCTGAAACAGGAGGCTCGAAGTGCGCAGAATTTCTCCATAGCCATGAAGAAAAACCCGCCCCTGCTACTGTGGCACTCAAACAGAGACCAGAGGATACGCTCAACAGCCGCTGACCTACGTATGGAAGTAGCCCAGATGTGGTGGTCACCTCAGAAAGTTACAGGAGCAACACAGACTAAGCCAGAAGTAGAAGTTGAAGAGGAAGTGGATGCAGTGGTCCCCATGGTATGGGTCTGTCTTCTCCAGACAGTTCATGTACCACCCCCGCCAGAGTGTTTTTTGTAAAGATAGCTGCTGAGACTGAGCTGTTAGATACTCCTGTTGTTTGGTGGCACATCAACTGAGAGCAATGCAGGAGCAAGGCGTCATTCAACCATTTAAGTTAGGCTAGCCCAGTGGCATTAGTCAAGAAACGAGACGGGACCCATAGATTCTGTGTAGACTATTGGGGTCTAAATGCTGTTACCAAGACCGACAGTTTTCCATTGCCCAGGATTGAGGATCTCCTAGACGTGCTGGGGCGAGCCCGATATTTTTCTACGCTAGACCTGGCATCAGGGGTTCTGGCAGATACGAATGCATACCAGTTCACAAGAGAAGACTGCCTTTGTCACGCCCCAAGGACTTTATGAGTTTAGGGTGATGCCCTTTGGATTGATAAATGCTCCAGCAGTGTTCCAATGCCTAATGCAACAAGTCATCTTGTCATTGAACCTAGACTCTGAAGTGGAGTTTGTCTCTGTGTACATCGATGACATCCTTGTTTTCTCCAGGACCCTAGAGGAACACCTACTACATCTCCAACAAGTCATCGAGAGAGCTGTCCAGGTGGGACTAAAACTGAAGCCATCCAAATGCAAGTTTGTGTGGAAGGAGTTGGAATACCTAGGCCACATTATCTCTCAGGAGGGACTCAAACCTAGTCCCCGCCTGGTGGATGCTTTACAAGATTTTCCGAAGCCAACGACAGTCCAGGAGACCAGAACATTTTTAAGGCTCTGCTCCTACTACCTGAAATTCATACCCTGTTTCACTGCTACACCATCTCATCCGCAAGGATACAGACTTCGTGTGGTCATCAGAGTGCCAGCAAGCATTTGAACAGCTCAAGTGTAAGCTTATCTCAGCGCCCGTTCTGGCCTACCCGAATTATCAGGATGCCTCAGTTGAATGCCTTGGACCAGCAGTTCCAGACAGATACGAAACTTCACCCGGTGGCATACGCCAGCCGAGCTCTGAGAAGAGGTACAGAATAACTGAACTGGAAACATTGGCAGTTGTGTGAGGAATATGCCGCTTTCATCACTTTCTGTATAGACATAACGTCAGTGTGTACACGCTGACCATGCTGCTGTGAAAGCAGTGTTGAAGGCTGACAACCCCACAGCTAAACATGCACAATGGTAGACAAAGGTCTATGGCAGAGGCCTGAAGAGTGTGAAGATACTCTACCGAGCGGGAAAGGAGAACTCCAACGCCGATGCCCTATCCCGGAGCCCCTGCTTGCCAGCACCAGCTGTAGGAATTGCAGAGGACGAAGTACAGGTGGCAAACTTGGCATCAGATAAAGTGAGTAGTTCGGCCGCCAGAAGTAGGCTACAGTCAACCCAGGTAGCTGAGAGATCTGTTGCAGGGGCACCTCTGCCAGAGAACAACCCGTCCGAAGAGGAAGAGCACTTGTCCGCTACACCTGCACAGAGGTTGTTGGAAGAGGCTACTGCCACCTCGCTCTCCGAACTGCCATTAAGAGGATAGCCAGCAGAAGACACTGCCACCCTCAAACAAATCAACCTCCAGTACAGTAGAACCTGAGAAAGAAGAGGTAGCTATGCTCACAACCTCTATTCTGTCTCCCCACTCGTTCCCAGTCAGCAGTGGATCTCGGCGATCACTTTATCTGCCGCCCACACCACCACGCAATATATCAATTGTCTAGACAGAGAGCAGCGTGACCCTGACTTTTGTATAATATAGGCTTCTGCCAGGCCCACCCCAACCATCACAAGCCCAACAACTTCAGTCCAGCAAACTCAAGACGATAAAAAAGTACTGGCTCAAGAGGATGTCGCTGACCAGGGAGTCCAGACCACTCAACACTCGGTCCCAGGAGGAGACCAGATTGCTCGTCATGCGAACTCTGACACACCTGTTACCCAGTCCCAGAAGGAGACCAGATCACTCGTCCTGTGTGCTCAGACTTTAAAAGGGCCTTGACCACAGACACAGATGCTCAAGGAGACCAGACTACTCCTCACCGGGCTACTACAGAATCAAGTCAGGGATATCACGTGACTATGTCCCCAGCAGTCACTCACAAGAAGGATCAGAGACTCGAGAGCCCTAGTTTGGAAGAGACACACCGATGTCTAGCAACGAAGGACGTAAAACAAGGTATCAATCAGCCAGGAGTTCACACCTTGACCATCAACAATGAGGAGTTTCCGTACTCGGATTTACACACAATGGAAAATGCTGACCAGCAGATTTCTGACTCAAAACTTAGTCTTAAATGAAGCTAGGGGTATCATGATATGTAGTACTAAACCTGCAATTGTGTGTTTATTGTGCTCAAAAACCTACGTTACGTGTGTATCTTTCCTGTCACCAGTCAACTGCCAG